TGTGCTTAAGTCCCTTGATCTGTCATGTTTCAAAGGGATTTAGGTGTCGTCCGTACAAGAGAGAAGAGAGAGAAAGTCTAAGAGATGATAGAGCACGGGAGAAAAGAGAAAGGGTGAGTGTTGTGTGTGTGAGCTCCACGTGGTCACCAACCAACCAAGCAAATAACCTCTAAGTCTCATAATATGTCACACACATACACTACAATCTCAACGTCTAAGGATAAAACCATCATTTCACGTCCTCGAGAAATAAATAATACACATCTCCGGGACAGGCTGTGACAATGGTGGTATATGTTGGATTAATTGAATATATTCAAAATTGGTTTGAATTTTGGAAATGTGAACTACGAAAGACTTGATCCCACTCAAGGATACGTAGGCAGTCTAACAAAGTTTAGATGCGGCCTTAAATAATTGAGAATAAATTTTTAGTTGGAATCTTGATCTAAGGGATGAAAATGGAAACAAATTGGGAAAATAATTAATTAATTGTATGTTTTGATAAGAGAAACATGGTTCAAACTATTTGAGGAATTAAGGAATTTAAAGTAAAGAATCTTAACTTTTGATAGTAAATTATCAACAATATTACATTGGGCCTATCATCAAAATTATTTCGCGAAATAACTATTTCGGGGGCGGGGAGTTACAGGAGAGGGAAGAAAGGGGTGGGTTGCAAGGAAGGGGGGTCGTGGAAGATGAAGATGGGTTCTTCTTCTTCTTCTTCTTCTTCTTCTTCTTCTTCTTCTTCTTCTTCTTCTTCTTCTTCTTCTGGGTTGCAGGTTGGGTAGGGGAGGGAGGGAGGGAAGACGAAGTGGGGGTCTTCTTCTTCTTCTTCTGGGTTGCAGGTTTGGTAGGGGAGGGAGGGAGGGAAGACGAAGTGGGGGTTGCTAGGAGGTGTGTTTCAGCTTTTGTTTTTGGTTTTTTATTTATTTATTTATTTATATTTATTTAGAAGATTCAGGTTTAAAAAAAATTAAAAAATTGTTTTTTTGCCACATGGCACAAATGTGGTAGCCACGTCAGCGCTTAACGGATCAATGGATAGAAAATGTAACGGAGCTATTATTTTGAAATAAAATAGTACGTGAGGTATGAAAGTGAAATGTTTTAAAGATGTTGTATAGGGTTGTAATAGACTTCAAACCTGAGGGGCTACTATGTAATTTACCCTTTTTTTTTTAACTAAAAACTAAAAGTAGTTACCAAACAAAATTTCAACGAAATGGTTATCAAACATCCCCTAAAAGAATTGAAAAACTTATAAATATGATAAGGGAATAAAATTTATTAGTCCTTCTAGTTTTTTTTTTTTTTGGAACAAATTAGTCCTCCTAGTTAGATGTGACTAGTTGATCAAATTCTTGATATTCAAATATTTGATTAAGAAATTTTTGGAGAAACTCACATTTTCTGATTCTCTATATTTCAAACGCAGAAAATTAAAAGTCAAAATAATTTTCCTTTCCACGTTTTAGTAAACGAGAAAGACTAAATAATTGATCAAGGGCATGCATATGCCCCTAAATTTATTTGCTAGAAAATATATAATCTTCAAGTTTCTTAAAAGAAAAGGCAAAACATAAATTGTCTTAATTTTATTGTACATTTCAAATTTCTAAATGGCACTGTTATTAGCACTTTTAAAAGTTCATCCTACATTCTCGTTATATTTTTCTTTTTACTTATAGAAAGTTTAAAATACAAAATAAAAAATTTTGAATGCGAGTAACAATTCTCATTCTAAATATACAAAAACACCTCGTAGGCTTGTAGTAGACTATACGTTAAAAATAAGTGCTCTTCTTCCTTAGGAAGTTAGTTTGTACCAGCCATTAACGACCTAAACTTTTACCTCCAATAACCCATAACCATCTCTGCAATTTCATTCACCTTCCCTGTTCCCTCGCTTCTCCTCTCCTCCACATAAACCCTAGACCCACATCCACTTCACACCCACCTGCACGCGGGCACCGATTATTTACAGTTGCATATTCAATAAGAACATCAGAGGCTCACAATGGGTTGCTCCGCCTCCCTTCCAGGTAAATCCGCATGTAAATTTGGATCCTTTTAGGGATTTCGTTTCTAGGATTTACTGTTTCGATTCGATCACATTGAAATTTCCATCTGGGTCCTCTTTATTTGGTCTATCTCCTTGATTTCTAAGCTCAACGAGATTGAATTGAGAGAGAGAGAGAGAGAGAGAGAGAGAGAAGGGTTATTTGTTTGCTTAATTAGGATTTGCGTTTCGCTAATTGCTTCGATTGTGATTACCCTTTTGATAATTTTGTTCCATTTTCTTGTGTTTTTTAATTTGATTGAATGGGGATTGGTTGCTTGCAGATAGGAGTTCAGGGCGGTTGGCCGGGCCAAATTCCGAGAACGGTGGAGCTTCTGATGCCAAAAATCTCCGTGTGAAGGTATTTTTTAGGCTAAACTTATGCAATTAATGATGTTACTGCCACATATATGGAGTTAACAGTGCTTGATACTTGAGTCATTACCAACTTCTGCTCATTTGAAAGTTAGTGTGGGTGTGGAAAATGCTAACTTTAACTTAACATATATGACTAATGTGTTTCAATACGCTTAACAGTTTTCTATGTGAATCTCATACATTAGGGAATGCGTCCTAACAGCGTACATTAAAAATAGGGTCCAGAATTTTTGGATTTATGATAACACTAGTTTCTTGACAATCATTTATTTATGCCGGGTTGGATCTTTAAAATTTATCGGATGAGTTGTCTTCTGCAAACTGGTAGTAGGTGGAGCTCGAGCATATTGGCAGACTTAGAATTTATTACGGAGTTCAGTTGAGCAAATGTTGCCGTTAAAAAAATTAAAAAAAAAAAAAAAAATCAGTAGTGAGATGCATTCAGTATTGAAGTTTAAGAGGATTCTGCTTATTTTGTTTAAAATTTCGAAGAACAGGAGACTCTTTGTATAAAATTGATAAAAGCAATAATGTCCATCATGGTTTATATAAAGCATATGACTGAATGCAACTAACCTTTCATTCTTGTCACTCTTCAGCTAGTTTTGTTGGGTGATTCTGGTGTTGGTAAAAGCTGTATTGTTCTGCGTTTTGTTCGTGGTCAGTTTGACCCCACATCCAAGGTAAGGAACATGTTACTGCTATGTACCCTGTTTTTGGGTTTCAATATCTAGCCTCTCCGTTGAGGTACATAGAAGCTAATATGATGATCATTTATTTAAATTTTATGGTTTTTAATATTTCCAGGTGACTGTTGGAGCTTCATTCTTGTCACAGACGATAGCTTTACAAGATTCTACAACAGTTAAATTTGAAATATGGGACACTGCAGGCCAAGAGAGGTATTTTGCCAATCGTTTTAGATGTAACACTAGTTTACTGGTTTATGGTGAAATTTCATCCTATGTTCTTGTTTCCAAGGCATCCTCCTTTGCCCTCTCCTGTACTCCTTCCTGGATACTTTCTCCCGCAGTGTACTCCTTTTGTAGAATTTTATTGATTGTTTATTAACTCCTATTCAGGTATGCTGCATTGGCCCCACTCTATTATCGTGGTGCTGCAGTTGCAGTTATTGTATATGATATAACAAGTCCAGATTCTTTCAACAAAGCGCAATATTGGGTTAAGGTATCTTTTACGAAGGCACACAAACATCAATTGTGATATTTTTGTTGTTTCTTTATTTAGGTGTAAATCATTTCTTTTTGTTCAATGGAAATCATCCTTATACTCTTGCATCCACGTTTAGCAAGCAACAGGTCTGACAAAGATAAAAAAACTGTTTAATAAACTATGAGGTTATAAAATGTACAGATTTTTTTACCTCATCGGTAAAGCGTCATATAGTCTACCATTAATGGTTAGTTTCTTTGTTTATCTCACAAAGAGTTGAACATGTGGGACAGTGAGGTTCCACTTGGCTAACTAAGAACCTCTAAGCCAGATTGTTGTCAATGCGTAAAAGATCCACTTCATATGTTATAACTACTCCACGCATTATAGTTTTAATACCAAGGAGGAAGAGCAGCTAACTGTATTGAACTAGGAGCTCATAATTGGATGTTTGCCTATCAATCTGCGTTATGGAGCTTATGCTCTTATCGAATGTGCAACTTTGTCTTGATAATTTGCCTTGCTACATGGACTTCACCAAAAATCCATTTTGTTTAAACTACACTTAAATTATTTCAAGTTTTCTATAACTGGTTTTTGTTGGTTTGAATTTGTGTTTTCCAACAACTGATAAAATATTAGCTCTCTACAGGAGCTGCAGAAACATGGGAGCCCTGATATTGTCTTGGCCTTGGTCGGTAACAAAGCTGATCTTCATGAGAAACGTGAAGTTCCTGTTCAAGTGAGTTCATTACCACTCAATCTAGTGCATGTCTTTGCAAAATAGACTTTCACATGACTAAATAAACACCTGTTTTGTATGTAAAGGATGGTATTGAATATGCAGAAAAGAATGGAATGTTCTTTATCGAGACATCCGCAAAGACAGCAGATAATATTAATCAGCTGTTTGAGGTAACCCTAGTAACGTTTATGTTTCGGTCATAGGATATTTCTGTATTAGCCATTGAATTGTTATTTACAGTAGACTCCATTCGAACTTCAGGTTCCTACCTTATAAAGCCAGAACTTTAAATCAAATTATAAACCCTTAAATCCGAAGCTCATCGATTACTAGGAATGCTGACACCGTGTCTTGTTTGGGCAGGAAATTGCCAAGCGACTACCCCGTCCAGCCCCTTCAACAACGCAGCAGAATCCGTGAAAGCTGATTAAATAAGGAACTTATTCATGCTATGGAGACCTAGTTTCCTTTCTGTAATTTCCCAATTTGTGTATATTGTGAAATAGCTTGTAGCTTTTGCTTTTTGCTGGCCTGTGGGTTTCATCCGATAGTTTCAGTTGGAACTGCATAATCGTAATTTGCACACACTAATAATCTGTAAATGCCTGGGAACCCACTATAACATAGCTGACCGAAGTGTTAATAATCTTTTAGACATTTTTCATCATTTTGGTTTTCTTGATCTTCTAAAGTAAACCAAATCTCTCCCGCTTGCGTTTCCAACTTTAGCCCGGTTCTCAAATCTCCATAATTCCTGAGAGACATCAAGCTCTCGGTACAAGTAAAGATCCTCTTATAATACTTACTACCTTCCAGTTTTGCAAGATTCATGGAAATACTTGTCAGATCCAAGAAGAATATACTTCTATTGGTGTGATCATAGCAAGTATCCTGGAAAAATATACCGTGCTCCCATTCACCACATGCCGACACATGAAGGTTCCGAAAAGGATGTTTCATATCTATTTTGTAGTTCAGCACCCACTCTTTCTTGTCATAGTTTTTCAATCCCCATATCTCCATATGAATATCTGACGAACCATCCACTAGGGCTAATGATCCTCTCAAGTTTAGCAAGTGAAAAAGCGCGAGCGAGGTACCTGACTTTTTTTCTAAGGTGGGGTGAGGAGTCCAATAAAACTCCTCTTTCTTGAAGTCGAAAGAAAGTATACTTGGTAGATCGCTTTCTGCTTGAACAGTTGAATACTCATTTGGACGAAGAACCAACCAATGCGTGTCTCCATGTGCCGATGCTATTTCGTTGGAGAACCGGAGGCAAGGAGGAAGAACTGAATATATCTCTAGCCATGAGCTTGTGCCAAGAACAAGAACTTCGGCCACCGATACCATTTTCACCATTTTGTTGCACGAAGGTTTCTCATTGGTATGTTGGGAAATACGAACAACCTTGAAGTTGTTCGTTAAGCTGTCAAATCCCATGCCGTACGAATCACATTGGCAGCTGAGACCTGTATTATTGGCTGCAGGGAGCATTAGAACTTCCCCCTTAAGAGGATCCAATAGGAAAGGTAGGTATGCTTTGGAACTGATCTTCCCTCGAAATAAAAATAAGTTGCAAAAAGCAGAAGACAAGATATATGGAAGCCTGGACCAAACCCTAGAAATATTTCCATGTTTGATCTTTCTCAAGGTGGTGTTGTCGCCATGGTATATTAATGGGTGCGTAATATTTCCTTTACCTTTCGAGGATTCGATGAGAAGCATAAGTCGAGGTACTTGACGAGGAACATTACTGGTACAATCAGTACTACTACTAAGTAAACGATGCGTGTGCAGTGTAACAAAAGAGAGGTCGTCAACCGTGTCTAAGAATGCCTTAGATACACACTGGATGCTACGAAGCGAATTTACGGGCAGTCTCAAAAGGATGTTGATAAGGATTTCAATGGGAAGGTCCATCAACTCTGTGTTGCAGGAGCTGTGCCTCATTCTCTTCTCGGTCCTCATCATCAACATATGACAGTCAGAAGGACTACAACCCTAATTGATAACAAAGCAGGTTTTATATTCAAGAAATTATAAGTATACAAAGATATGCTAAGCTAGCTAGAAATTATCATATAAGTAATAATTGGACGAGAATATTTGTACTTGTATCAGAGAATTCAGGATGCTGCTTCTTGAATTTTTCATCCCCGTTTTTAGTATATAAGTATACACCCTGCATTCCAAGATTCTAATCCAACTCAAATTAGGATACAACCTCCTAGACTTAGACCCAATGCGTGTGGGAAATACCACTCAATTAGGAAAGCGTACTGCCAGATTGCGGCTGCCGTACCCTTTTCCGCAATGCTAACTGCTATCCAGTATCCACCAAAAAACCCTAGGCTAGCTAGGGTTTCCTATCTGTTAGGTCTTAGTTGAAAGTTTGAAGCCCTAGTTGTATGGTTTCGACCACTTCGGTTTGTTTGCACAGAACTTATGCTAATACTATATAGTATTAGCTCAGGGTTATAAATCATCCCTTAAGTGCCTTTTATTTACTTATTTCTTTAAACAACCAAAACACAATATTAGAGTTTGCTCAATAACCATTTCGTAATACAATAGTTTTTCTTCTCTAACGTTGTACTTCAACGACCAAACGCCATGATGTCGGTGTCGAAGAGTAGGGTTGTGAAATTGAGGAGCTCGAATAACGGAATATTCGAAGTAGAAGAAGCTATATATGGCAGCGCTGTCGGAACCGATAAAATCCCTAGTCGACGTCATCGGTGTCAACCATGTGATACCATAGCGAGAGGTCAATTCCAAAACCCAGTCATGATGATAAGACTGGTGGAAGATTAAGCATAATGCTTCTTATCAGGGTGTTACTAAAAGCACAACAAGCAAACAACAACTAATCAAAGATTGGGAGGCTGAATTTGTTGAGGAAGTGTCCAAGCCAACGTTGTCATTAATCTCTTATGCACCGCAAACTTTCTATGTGTGAAGGAATTGCAGGATCTTATGTTTCAAAAGGTTGCAGATTTGATTAAGGTGAATACAGTTGAGGAGATTTGCGAGTTGTTTCCCATCAAGCTTTAAGATATGGCTTTTTTCGCGAAAAGATTAAAATGATTTAGAGTAGATAAACTCAGAGATCACAACATCAATTTTCATTATCAGAGATCAAAATGAAGAATTATGTCAATCTCAATAACTATTTTGACGAATAAGCCTTAAATATATATATATATATATATGCAATAATGTGATTTAAATTCGTTTTTACGCCAGAATTGAACATAAGATCTCTTAGGTACAAGTAAAGATAAATATCATTAAACTATAGTACTAACTCACCGTTCGAAATACAAGTTAATTTCTTAGACTCAAACACATGTCATCAAAGTTAAATTCTTCAAGTTAACCTCAAGCACTTCTTTGGGCCGGGTTTTGTATTGAGAAAGAACAAAATTCAATTAGAGTTATCTCATAGATTTGAAAATTAATTATCTTGAAGAATTGACGATCAGATTTCAATTACTGTGAGATAAGGATAACATCAAATCTTATCTAGTGATCAAAATCCTTGTGCTATCAGGTCTCTTATGATCTTAGGGGAACACGACCTATTCTAATACAAACAACATACATTAGTTTTCATTATGAGGCCCAATAGCAGGAGAAGAAAAACGGTGGTCTCTCGTGCTAATAACACATGAAGATAAAGTACTATATACTATATATAGCATGGCACAATAACTTGTTAAACTTTCAAATAGATGGGTCGAATGATTCAACACTGATATTGTTCTTAACTTAATTATCTGTATCGCAACAAGTGTGAGATTTTATTCTAAAGGGCATTGGTGTAATTAGAAGATGGAACCATTTCTACATAAATCAGAATAAAACTAAAAAGTAACTTTTATAGAAAACACGGTATGAATATGAATTTACTTATCATTCCAATTTTATTAGATGTCCGGCAGGGACTAAAATTTGATCTATCGGTGGTGATTAATTATTTTACAAGTCAAAAGTTTGTTTAGTCTAATTTCAATAGAGTAATTAATTAAAGTGGGATGTATAATTATTTGGTTTAATTATTCTTTTCAACCTGAAAAGAAAGGAGCGTGTAGCCAAGCAAATTGACAAGGGTAATTGAACGGTCCAGATCGAATCGGAAGCAGGAGAGGGACCTGCCGATATCCAGTGATTGACATTCTTCATCTGCCCAATAGAACAATAGAAAACGAGGGTCGTGGGTCCTTACCTTACCAAATATTCAGGCCGCGGATTGGGTGTCCATTCCACGTCGGCATGATCGCGACACGTTGCGCTTCGTTATTAGGCGCCGGCGGGAACTGTTCTTTGGAACGCGTAGTTGACTGACCTGGTGGCCTCTTCATTACTGGATAAGCTAGCTAGCCGGGTTGTTAATTGGCTCGTGTCAAAAATTGGCTAATCAAAATAAAAAGTAATAGGTTTACCCAGATAAATAAATACAAAGTAATAGTCATCGTTCAGTGTTACGGTCTAGTGGTATTCCTCTTAGGTTCGAATCAAGTGGATGACGAATTTGATATCAAATTAGGTTGTCCATTGTGTGGCTTAACCGAACTCCCCCTCTTATTAGTGTAAAAATGTAGATGTACTAAAAAAAAAAGTAATAGTCAGAAGACTTGTTTTTAACCACCACGAGTGGCTCAATGGTTTGGAACGAATTTCAAACCCGTATTTCACACAACACGCCTTGGAGTTCAATTCTTGGCGCTCGTAAATCGCAAGATGTTGGCCTCAGAGAGGCTGAAATGCCTTTATGAATCTTCTGGTCCCCAAAATGGAAGGTCTGCGGTGGCTAATGGTTTCCCCTTTTTTAAATTACCAAAAAAAAAAAAGTGACTCTTCTTTTCCTTCATGAGTAAGTATACAATATGTTTCTTTTTATTGAATAAAAGATATTATCTACACTAACTAGAGGAAGTGAGCTTAGCCTCACAATATGCTAGTAATAATATGATTCGAATTTGCCTTTGGTGAGAATCGAACCTAAGACCTCTCACTTACAAGTGAATGAGAATACCACTAAAAAAAATATACAATATGTTCAAATATTGGGGTGCAACTTCAAAGCTACTCAGCACTCAGTGTTGGTATTTTTGCTGTTAGATTTGATTTCCACCAGTATTAAATCTTTTATTATCAATCTGAACCATTCATTTTCTACAAGCTACATACCAATACCATTGAAGAAAGATTGCACACGTTACAATTTTATTTTACAAATGACATCAATTCAACTTTTCTTGTTACCAAACTCATAAAAGTGGTTGAAGATATTGAAAAATTGAAACCCACAAACTCCACCCTTCATAACTCGTAAACCTTTCGCATGTCAACCTCTATTGTCGACTTAGTCACTCCTTTTTATTAGACTACGAAATTAAGATAATATCCCCCAAAAAACGATCATAATTAACATACAAAACATTCAAGATTAGTTGCCTCTTAAAGCTGATAAGAAATCATATTCATTCAATTTCTCTCTCTCTATCAAACAACTCATGATGGATTAACGTCACCTTCAATTTCCATCAAGAACTCACATTCTTTAAGCCATAAAATAATCATTAATGCAAAGATTGGAAGAGCATGGTAAAATTTAGATCCATACAGAGGAAAAAAAATTTAGTGTGTCGGGAACACGGTCTAGTATATCAAACTTCATAATATAAGTAGTTGAAAAAAAATTTCAACCATTTATATTATGATACCTAATGTACAGAGTAACGTTTTCGGCATAATAAAATAAATTTCCAAAGGAAAAAAAAAAAAAAAGACGAGATTTTGGCTTTAAGTTGAAGCGGAGCACAGCTAACCGATTGGCTAATTTATGGGGGGGGAGGAGTGAACAATAGGAAGGACTTGGCCAAGTTACTTGGTAAAGGTCAAAAATACCCCTTGTTGATGGATGCAATTTATTAAAATCATATTTACAAATCGGCGGGCTGACAAAAGAAAAATAAAATATTAATGTATGACCAGATCAAATTTCAATCCTACTTTGACATACTGGAAAATGGCAAGTGAGAAACTTTCAAATTTCAAAGATTTAGGTGTTATAACAAGAAAATGAATTACAAAAAGTTAGATAAGAAGAATCAGAAATGAACCACACGAGTATTACAAAGTCATGCAAAGGGAATTTGCAAAATGACTACTTGAAAGAAGTAATTTACATGTCTCTTATATACCTTTGTACCGCTTATGTGATACATATTCTAAATTCATTTTACGTAAATTTATACGATCTATTTCTTCTTCATTTTATTTAAATACTTTAGAATATGAAAGTTTCTGGTCCAGACATACCCGTTATAATTCTTAAGTTAAAGAAGTTCCATTATTTTCATTATCAATTTATCGTCACAAATATTTATTTTACTTAATGCATCTGCTTTGATTAGTTCTTTTGCAACGCAATGTAAGGGGCAGTTCCGTCACAAGGCAACAAAAATTTGGTCATAAGTGATGTCATCTGACTAACAGTTAACCCCATACAAGGATTAAGCAATGACTTCCTAACTTACCATGAATCCATAGTTGAATCACATTACTTGTTCTTTAAGCAAGATTTCTACCTAGTGGAACAATGTCTCAACTTTTAAGGCATACAAATACGATAACGATGTATGTTTGGTATTAAATTGCGACGCATAAAACCTTGTTATGGATCAGTAAAACATTTGCGTATATCCTATAGTAGGTGAACATAAATTTTTTTTACAAGTCAATATTAACCTAAATTACTCCAAATACAAGGAAGAGATTCAGGAGACTCAAACTACAAAAGGAACTATTCATAAATTTGGACTATGAGTTACTAGAAAACAAGCACATACTAAGCTATACACGATTGAGAAATTGTTTTAGTATAATGATATTATTTACAGTAAGAAATGAGATATTTAGATTAAGTCGCATAATAAGTTAAACATAATAACTTTTATTAATATTTAATTCGTGGTTCACAAGAGTTGAAAAATAACACCAGAACAGAATACTTAAAAGAGAATTTTGTAAAAGTATCATACTTATGCATATATTTATTTATTTGTGCGTTTAAAGAATTTCACAACTCTCTCCTTCGTCAGGAGTCGACAGTCGACAGACCAAACTCCGACCTTTGGCGTTACCATATATATACACAACAACCACCTTCTTTTTCCAGCACCACCACCATCCATGGCGTTTACTTTTGCATTCCAATTTTGCCCCTTTCTTTCTTGACACCGCCATCCCAATCCCAATCCCAATCCCAATCCTTCAGTTTGCTCATCTGGGCCTTCTCCATCTCCCCTAAAACCTCCAGCTCCAGCCCCTCCCAGTCCAATTCAGCTCCCAATCCCACATGGGTCCAACGGGAGAAGATACGAGCAGGTCAGTAGTGAGTCAACTCGCCGAGTCGGTGAAGGCGATTTCCGAGTTGCCCGAGTGCCGAAACGCGTTCAGGAAGATGTACGGCAACTTCGTGCGGAGAGTCAAGCTTTTGAGTCCTCTGTTCGAGGAATTGAGGGATGGCAATATACCGCTGGGAGAAGGAGAAGTTGTAGCTCTGGAGTCGCTGGGGGAGGCTTTGAATTCGGCAAAGCAGCTCATCAAGTCGGTCAACCAAGGGAGCAAGCTTTATCAGGTACTTGCTTTGTTTTGTTTGTGTTTTTCAATTTTCTGTTTTCTGTTTGGTTGCTGAGAAAACGAAGGAAAGTGGAGAGAGAAAAGTAAAGTTTTGGGTTTTGTAGCATTTGATGTTGTAGGAATTCTAAGGTATTTTGAAGTTCCCAGTTTGCAGGAAACACAATTCTTAGCCGAGGTGGTTTTAGTTCGAAAAGGATTCTGAAAATTGTCAATCGAATATATATTGCTCAAGTTCTGTCCATTTTGTTTTCTGCTAGAAGGAGCATAATACTGCAATGAAAATGTTTTGTTCCTTAATTAGCAACAAACAGAAATGTTATGCGTTTTGCTAATCTAATAAGTAGACAACTCTACTCAATCATGTAAAATACACCAAGCAACCAAGGATGACACATTTTTCACGGAAACACCAAAGTGATTTACGGTGGGCAAACTTAGGGACCACTTACATTGATTTTCATTGTCATGACCAAATTGAGGAGTTATGCCAATCTCTCTGGTTAACAACCAATTAAGAACCTTCGCCGAATATTATTTTGAACTCCATGTTTGTTAACTTTGAAAATTTCTCATCTATGCAATACACAAGTTAACTCTGCATTATTGTTATTTAACAGTTTTAATAGTTCATTGCCAGGTTAATTAAGTTGCTGGGAAACCTTTTTTTTTTGTTAAGGACCGAGTAACTTGACTTCTTAGAATGTAGTGCGTTCATACAAAGGAGGTTTTGGAACAATAAGTTGCATCTACTCGCATTCTATTTGTGATATCCTGACTTTGAACTGAATATAATGATCACGTGTAGTACTAGTGTTTACGTTATCACCGTGAGTTCGTGCTTTCATTTCTTCCGATTCTTATTTAACATATAGAAAGTGAGATTGACTTCCTCCAAGACGGGTAGATGTCCTTCTCATGCACACTTGATCTCTGGTGTAGTAGCACTAAATATGAGCATGTTATTTTTCTTGATTACTGCTGTTGTTGGAAACAACAGAATATGAACATCAATAAATGTTTTATTTACCAAGATGTATGCTAATTGCTCGTCAGGGTTTTAAAGGTAGACAGTGTTTTCTTATGTAACAGGCTTTGCAGAGGGACGAGATTATTGATAAGTTTCACCAAATGACGGTAAAAATTGAAGCAGCATTGAGCAAAATTCCTTATGAGAAATTTGACACGTCAGAGGAAGTTTGCGAACAGGTACATTTACAACCTGCATTCCATATTTTCATTTGAAGAAGATTATTAGCAGAAAACGACTCATAGTATATCTTTTTTCTCTTTGCGCTTTTTTAATGCATAAAATTATAAAACGCATAAAATAGTGTCAAATTATGGAGTATTTAAAGTATTTAACACGAAGTAACCCATGTAATTTCTTTCAGATTGAACTAGTGCATGCTCAATTCAAAAGAGCGAAAGAAAAAAAGGACTGCCTTGACTCACAACTAGAGATGGATTTAGCCGTAGCAGTAAGAGGCACAGATCTTGACCCTGCAGTAATAAAAAGACTTTCGGAGAAGCTGTACCTCAGAACCATCAACGATCTAAAGCAAGAGTCACTTGCTTTCCATGAATGGGTTATCGCAAGTGACGGAGATCTAGGGGACCATTTTGAAAAGATGCAATCTCTGCTTAAGAAGCTAAAGGACCTAGTGCTTATGGAAAACCCAGAAGCCGACAACTCAGAATGTGACAAGAGCACGGTCAAGCATAGATCTCCTGTCATACCAGATGATTTCCGGTGTCCAATATCACTAGAATTAATGAAGGATCCTGTGATTGTCTCAACTGGACAGGTACATCCTTGATCTTCTTTAACAACATACCGCTTTGTCAGTTTCTCTGTTGTACTCGTTGTGGTTAATGATTTCACTTATTTTTGCAGACATACGAAAGATCGTGTATTCAGAAGTGGTTGGATGCAGGACACAAAACTTGTCCCAAAACACAGCAGACATTGTTGCACACAGCCATAACACCAAACTATGTTTTGAAGAGTCTAATTGCTTTGTGGTGTGAAAGCAATGGTGTTGAGCTGCCCAAAAAGCAAGGGAATGGTAAAAACAGAAAAGCAGGAAGCAGTATTTCAGACTGTGACCGTGCTTCTATTGCTTCATTGTTAGAAAAACTAGCAAAGGGGAACTCGGAAGAACAAAGAGCAGCTGCTGGTGAACTCCGCTTGCTGGCAAAGAGGAATGCAGATAATAGAGTGTGTATTGCTGAGGCAGGAGCCATTCCTCTCCTTGTTGAGCTTTTGTCGTCCGCTGATTCTCGGACCCAAGAGCATGCCGTTACAGCACTTCTCAACCTCTCGATAAATGAGAGCAACAAGGGAGGGATTGTAAATGCTGGAGCTATACCCGATATAGTAGATGTTTTGAAAAATGGCAGCATGGAGGCTAGAGAAAATGCAGCTGCAACTCTTTTCAGTTTGTCTGTTGTAGATGAAAACAAGGTGGCAATTGGAGCTGCTGGAGCTATCCCAGCCCTTATAAAATTGCTGTGCGAGGGGACACCGAGAGGGAAAAAGGATGCAGCTACCGCTATTTTTAATCTTTCAATCTATCAGGGAAACAAGGCCAGGGCTGTAAGGGCAGGTATTGTGGCCCCACTGATGAGATTGCTCAAGGACGCGGGAAGCGGGATGATGGATGAAGCGCTAGCGATCCTGGCCATTCTGGCTAGCCACCAAGAAGGGAAGGCAGCAATTGCTCAAGCTGAGCCAATCCCAGTTTTAGTGGAAGTTATAAGAACTGGTTTCCCACGCAACCGGGAGAATGCTGCTGCTGTGTTATGGTCGTTATGCACAGGTGATTTGCAGCAGTTGAAACTAGCAAGGGAACTCGGTGCGGAAGAGGCAATGAAGGAATTGTCGGAAAATGGCACTGAGAGGGCCAAGAGAAAAGCTGTAAGTGTTTTAGAGCTGCTTCAACGCGTCGACGATGATTTTATTCCCCAACAATGCTAGTAGGATGAAGTGTAGTTTTACTGTACTACACTGTAATATACGCAATGTTTGAAATATCAATATGTAAATTTATGGATATATCAATGCATGTATCGATATCAGTTGCCGGAAGTTGTGGAAATTTGCAATGGGGTAGGTACATCAACTCATTCAGACTTGGTTGAAATTAGAGGAAAATTTCTCAAAAATAATTCGAAAGTTCGAAGTATGCAATGAATTCTGGCAAAATTTCTGTAGTGAAGGAGTAAATATCATTGATATTGATTTTTTTATGTTTCATCAATATAGGGTGAAGTTTGCATTTCAACCCCTTTTTTTATATAGGTTTTTGATTTTCGGATATTTAGATGGAAATATCGAAAATTTTGTGAATATTTTAAGCATTGAATACACAATATCAACATGTCAAGCGTTCTATATTATTGGAGAGTTACCATAAAAATTAATTAATAAACAAGAAGGCAGGAAAATTCTTGATTTTTCTACGATTCAACATGGCCGGCTTTTCCAAATATAGTTGACCGGGTTTTCTGTTTCAGATAGCGATTTTCACAAGTTCCAGAATTCCACGTTTTATGCACTCGCAACGTTTGGATAAAAAATTCGGATGCGACACAATCTCTCTTGTTTTATTTTATACATGCTCTTTTTCCAGGTCAAAAACGGTAGGTTTGTAAACTTACATGTTTCATGCTTCTCAAACACTCTTCATCTATTATTTAAACAGAAATCCATTTTTTTCTTTGAGTGAATAGTTAAATGTATTAGAAAAACAGCAGGAAGAACACAAGTTGAGAATATAAATACATTATATTAGTAACAGGAAAAGTTTTAAGTTCGAATCACTTCCCGTTGATCAAGAGCTCGTTTGGATGTGCTTTTAAAATGATTGAAAGCGCTTTTGGTGAAAATGTTTTTGGAACCAATTCTTAATAAAAATGCAAGTAAATCCTGGAAAAGCACTTAAAGTGCTTCCCAGAAGAAGCTCATAACGGGTGCTTCTTGCAGAAAGCACTTAAAGTGCTTTGGGAACCTAAAAACAACTTCTCTAAAAGCGCTTTCAGCCATTTTAAAAGCACAAAGAAGCCCTATGAGGAATCGCAGAGTGGGTCTTTCAATAAAAGAGGCTTATTCGTAAATGGTTAGTGCTAAGATAGATCATGTTTCATCACATCCAATCTTATTTGATCTACAAAATTTTACATGACAGCCTAACTTCCCACAAATGTTTCAATCAAGCTACGGCCGTTGGCGATTTTCGTGGTCCCAATTATCAAATCATATGCCATCCCTTCCTACAAGATCCAAATTACCATAGATTCAGGAATTAGGACATCAAGCAGGCAACAGATGAGAGAAAAGGAGAGAATTTGGGATAATCAACCCCGACACGTGAATTAAAACAGTTGTACAATGCGATCCAACCTATCCACCTACCAAATCGCATAATCTAATGAAATGTCGTAGATTTCATATGTGCAAAACAATCAACATACCTGAGCACTGAGAAATCGAAGAGCAGAGATCTCCGCAAACGTTACACCTCCAACGAAGACAACAAGTACTAGAGAACGCCTTCCATCAGATACCCTGGGATATATTAAGAAACGTTACAATGAAGTATAAACGCAGCATTAGCAAACAACAAATCAAGAAATACAGTACTGAGAGCAGAATCTTATAAAATAGAACCAGTTGGGACATACTTGTTTACATTGGCCGAATGCCCCTGCAAAGTGTCTAACGACGGGCTGCTTGAGAATCTGCCCTGTAAATTTGTTACAACAGAAAAAATCAGCTTAACATGTAATCCAACATACACACACAAAGATAAAATAAGAACAAATAACTCAAGAAATGTACTAACTCTCTTTAGTTCTGAATGTGGTCCGGGTAAAAGCCTCAGAATCTCTTCAATAGGACGCCTGAAAGTAAAAAAGTTGCATGTTTTAGAGCAAATTAAACACATATGAAGATCATGAAAATTTACAACAATGAAAATTCCGCCAAAACCAAAGCAATACAAAGAGGAAAAGGGGAAAAGAATAATGAGCCTTAAGTTAATCATAAAAAGCCACAAGACTTTAATTTGAGTCCTAAGAAAGTCTTTTTTTGTGCAATCCTTATTTGAAATTGAAGTTCTGATCCTCGACTGCCAAACTTATTTTCAGTAAGAAGTAAGAGCTCTACAAAAATAAAGAAATTTCAACTAAGAGACCCAGATACCGATATAACATGAACAAAACCAACCTGTATATAGTAAAAGACTGGTGTAATGAATTTCTGATGGGACGACGGTAAATCATGTAGAAGAGGCAAGACCAAGAAACCATCTTGTAATACCAACTTCCCAGAATATTATACCATGGCTACAGATAAGAAACTTCCAACGTTGATTTAATTAAATATAGACATTTAACATGATAAATTTAGGGACCCAGCTGTCCACTTTGCATGAGTACATTTCCGGCTTCGGTGCCTACCTGAAATTTGTCTCCAGCAATTAAATTGAACTTGCCTCAGTCTTAAACTATTTTAAATTGTATGGGCCCTTATTAGAAAACTTAAACGATAGATTGTACATCTTTATCATTTCCTGTGGTTTTCTAAGAGCTTGAGTATAACAAAGGGCAAATGACTTGCAGATTATATACTCGTGGTGAAGAAGAATTGATGGGATCTGATGAGTAGATTTTATATTATATATTTTACCCTAATCTTAGTATATTTTGGTTAATATTTTGGAAGAATTTTGATACTTTGAATTGTATTTTCAATATAGGACTTTCGGCTTCCTCTGGAGCAAAACAGGATCAAATGGACGAATTTTGGAGTAATTCCAGTTGGAGGACGTTCGTGAGTCACTTAGCTTGATCGTATCAAAATTTGGGATTTTTCCACCAAGCGGTGATTTTTTGACGATGAAATAAAGAAGCAGTGCGCAGTGCTGGAAAGTGACGTTTTTGGGCTTAAATTGCGTTTTTGGAGCCCAAGATGACCTCGGATGGGTTCGTGGCCTTCTGGAAAAGTGTTCAGAATAGTCCAAACATTAAATTCAGCTATATTGGGCCAGTTTTGGAGCAGCTTATGGGCCAAAACGTGGCTGTTCAGATTTTAGACGAATTTTTATCATTTAATTTAGGGTTATGTTTTCTAGGGTTTTGGGAGGAGGCTTGGAAATATATTGCTGAGCCGTCTACAGTTTGGGGGGATGCTTTCTTTTATGCTATTTTGGGAGACAGAGAGAATTGTTAGAGTTTTGAAGACTTTTTACTTGAAGGTGCTTTCAATCATTTTCTTGAATATATTTTCTATGATTTCAATTATGAGTATGCGGAACTAATTTCTATTGCTAGGGCGAAGCCTTGAGCCTTAGCATGAATATGTGATTTTTATTTAATTTCTTATGATCGATTGCATGCGTACTTTGAATTGTTAATCACCGGGATAAAAACTATCTAATTGTTTTAATGCTTGATCACCATTAGGATCTTTAGAAAAGTAATTTGATGCAATTTTGGTCGGAAGGTTCCCTGAAATTGACGCTGGCTTCTTGTGATTAATAATTGTAATTTCGCTTAGGATGAATATCACGTCTTAAGGATTGCATGGTTTTTCAAAGGATTTTCATAAAGCATAATGAGTCTTTCATGTTCATATTCGATCCGAACGTCCGGACGGGTTGCATGTTAGATATACGTTCTACGTTGGAGGTTCCAGGTAGAATATGAATTAGGAAAATCTAACATTCAAAGTGGCATGTGTAGTCGTAAGTAATGGGTAAAAGTTCATAGGATTGCTAGGTGATGGTGGAACCCTAGTGTCGTCTCAATTTGATTTTTTTTCATAACTGTTTTCTTCTCTCTAGCTTTAATATTGCAGATTATCTATTTAATTCATTAAATTCGTTTTTACTTTAAGTAGATTATAAAATCAATCATCTAAATTTCTACATTACAATCATTAATTGAAATCTGGTTTGTTTTGAATTATTTAATAATCCCTGTGGAGAATGACCTTGCGAAATCCGTTTATATTACAATAACCTTGTGATTCTTGCAAGTAAAATAGGAGGTTTTTATCGCATTCGCATTCACATAATGAGTCTTAAACTATTTTAAATTGTATGGGCCCTTATTAGAAAACTTAAACGATAGATTGTACATCTTTATCATTTCCTGTGGTTTTCTAAGAGCTTGAGTATAACAAAGGGCAAATGACTTGCAGATTATATACTCGTGGTGAAGAAGAATTGATGGGATCTACTGAAGGAAGATGAGAAACAGACAAACAAAAATGGAAAGAAAACGAACATGCTACAAAAATTTTAGTGAAGGAATTAGGCTCACCATCCAGATCGAACAGCATGCTGGATGAGGCGAATGCTAAGAGGTGCATATCCAGAAAACACATAGGAAATATCATTGGGACTGTGATATAAGAAAATTGCCTCCCAAGTTAGTACCAATGAAAAGGGAACACTGCCAAAAAGAAAATTAAAAGTGAAGGAGAATAATACTTTGCAGTGTCAGTGTCCTCAACTACAAGTTGCAGGGCACGTTTAACTGTCAGCCAGTTGCTTTTCGTCTCCTGCAAGGTTCAGACGTGTACAATGAATCCACATTTATTCTTTTGTGCAAACAAGTCCATTCACCAGTTACTAAATTATCCAAGGAAACCAGTGGATGATTTTGCGAGGGTAAAATAAAAATAAACCTGTTTTTTAAGCAATCCAGCTTTCTCTAAATTATTCAGTGTAACCATGTGCTCGAATCCATAACTATGGATTAGTTCTCTCCTAAACCAAGAATACAAAAACCATTTAATATAAGATATAAAACCAAAAGGATTAAATTGAAACATATTGTGTGATGAGTGAAGAGCACTTGCCTTAAATAGTCGAAATGCTTTTTGGGCAACCCAGAATTTGTAATAGAAAACAATATGAGAACACGTAGGACGTTCACAAGAGGCTCCTGCTTATGGATCATTTCTTCAATATGCTCAAAGCATCTGCATTCACAAACTCTTTCAGTCTTAATTACATGGCTAAAGAAAATGAGAAGCTTAAAACCCCTAAACATGTAAGTTCTCAACAGCAGCAGCCAAAATTCAGCTTACATGTCATAACTTTGACCCTCAATAATTGTGTGTTCCATGTCAAGTTGTCCAAGAAATGATGTCTTTGACGTGAACGTTGACAGATGCTGAGCAAGATTTATGTGCCTCTACAGCAATAATTGTAGCAAATCAGAATATAAAACTCCCTGTATGGATATCTATAATGATTTAAAGAACTACTTACAGTCATTTCTGGCAACGAGTTCAGTTTTTTAACAAAGTCCTTCAATTCAGAAACTGTCTGGTTCTATATGCAAAATTATATAGCACTTCATTAGAAAAAAATAATTCTGGTAATACCATCAGGTTCATGAATAGAAAATTGTGTCGACATCACCTCATGATTGCAGAAGGGCAAGTATTCAGCTCTTATAACATTCACTTACATTGCTAGTCACATCGGTGTAGTCCTGCTTCATTGATTGTGCTTTTTGACGTAGAATCTGCAATCATACTGCAGGTAGCAATGAGAAATGGAACTGCTAGGAAGGGTTTTTCATTTTCATAAGAACTTAGAAGAAATAGCTTTAGGAAAAGAAAACATAACAATCTAAAGAGGTGAATATAGATCAACCTGGCCAACAACTTCAAAGTTGAGATCCCGTAACTCTTTAAACAGCTTGTCACTGTACTTATTACGATACACAGTAATAAGTGTAAACACAGAGGACCAAAGAAGCACATAGGAAGAAAAATGAGTAAAGAAAAACAATTACAGAAAGAAAAGACTAAGATGGTATGGGCATTTGAGAGCAACGAGTGTAATGGATGTGCCAAAAGACTTAAAATGAGTATATGTGTGACATGATGCCCTTGAATTAGCAAATCTTTCAAGGAAACAATGAAAACACCTTGAATTAAGTGGAACTTTCATCTTCTTTCCCTCTTGTTGGGCCGCACCCATGAAAGAAGCATCTAGCTCGACAGCACCATTGTTGATATGCAGAAACTGCACTGAAATGATAAGGGATAGCTTGCAACTAATTCAAATTACAAACAAACAAGAATTCTCCTTAATTTAAGGTTTCTCATTAAAGTTTTGGGTTTAATACAAAAAAAGACTTAGGTTCAGTTGACTTACAAATCTAGGTATTAGGCAAATAATTAATCAGAGTAGATATAATATACTGATTTAATGAAAAACAAATGAGAAAGTTATTGGCAAAACTTGCATACTTTCTTAGTATGCCAATCGAATCAGAATGCTACAGTCCAGATGAAAAAACTTCACGAGCAACTCAAAATTTTAACATATGCTTTCTATACCTAGTTACCTACCATAACCATGCAGCTTTTATCATAACCATGCCATGTGATTGATTTTCTACTGAATACATACTTCCGCCAGTTTTTACAATGACTTACCTCATCAAGAAGCCCTTCATATGTTAATTGAGAACACATGGGAGTTACCAAGTCTACCTACATCCAAGGAATAATTGATGTAAGCAAAAACCACAATTGACGGTACAGTGGCAGCAAAATATGCAGTAGCTGGATGTGAGTTTGTAACTTTCTGAATAATGAATGGTATATGCCATGATTATAAAGAAGGGTTCATAACTTTACCATGCAATTTTTTTATTCCTTTCCCAAATAAAAACTTTAAATTGTGTATAAACTTAACAAAATGGCATACTAAATGAATTTAAAGTTATTTACCGCATGTCTTGCAAACAAATTTGTATCCACAAGAAATGGCTAGAATACGCCAAGTTGTGTGGCAAACTAATAACTTTAAGAGAATGAGAGAGAGAGTATACCTCCCTATCTAAAAGGATGAGAGTACTAATCTCTGGCACAACCATCTGATGTTACAAGCAAGATATTAGTGGAAGGTTATGAAGTGCACATTTTAATATGCAGTTTATATATATTTTTTAAATTAATTCATAAGAAAAGGAGCTTAAAGTCATGCATAAATTACATCAGGTGAGTTAACCGGTTCCTCAGCTTGCATACGGTTTAGAATGTCAGCCACACGCACTGATCCTTTGCCTTTAGCCCTCACATTTGGTATCACCCCAAAAGAAAACTTCAAAACAAAACAATAAATAAGGCATAATTTTCACCCAGGGAAAGAACATTAACTAGAGTAACTAGAAGCACAATTTCTCACTACAATCATAATATTATTTTGCTCCAATGTTATACAAGTGTGTGTATGTGTGTGTATGTGTGTGTGTGTGTGTGTGTGTGTGTGTGTGTGTGTGTGTGTGTGTGTGTGTGTGTGTATTTATATATATACATATATATTCATTCTTGCATGATCAAATAAATCACATAAATACCATTAAAAAGAGAAAGCTAAACCTAAAGTAAACTGAACAAAAATGTGCATGTATTTTCTACAACCTCAAGCCTGTGAATCGCGTTTGCAATATGCCAAAGAGAGCTCGTATCACCATCAACTAGGCATTCCTACCATGCAGAGAGAAAAGAAAGTTAATAAATATAGATCAAATAGTGCAGAATAAGTTTAAATATCTGATGTTAAAAAATAATTAAAATAAATCCACAAAATATAAAATGAGAAATTTCTCCAGTACCTTGCAAGAAAGATCAAGTTCAAATGACAAAACATCCTCGTCCAAAGGAACAATGTATAACGGATACTCCCCTATAGTCAACAAGTGATAGACCTTTTCCTCTTCAAGAATCTGAAAAACCAAAAGGGAATTTATGATCATTCAATTTTCAAATGTACCGGCAATGCATCCATTGAAAACCATCACTTATACAAGGTAATCATAATAGCCAAGGCACGCTCACCTTCTCACACCCAACTGCACGGCGAGGGACAAAATAAACATAGTATTCTCTATGCAGTCCTTTTGATGTATCATTATGAATATGCGAACTAATTAATGTCATCAACGTAAGCTCTGAACGGACAAGGTAAACCAGCTTGGAACAGTCGGTTTGAATGGGATCAGCTGAAAGATGCCGCAACTCAATTCCATGTTCCTGTTTGCATGCACCAGTAAAACAACAACAATTACAATCTAAATTCCACCAGAAAAGCTTCCTGCATTATACTCAACTCATTTCAGTTGAATGTAACAAATGCTTTGCCGAAAATTAAGAAGCGAAAATCAAAGTTCAAATGCGAGTTTCCCATTAAATTCTAGCTTAACAAGCATAAAAATCACATCACAAACTACACAAAATTCAGCAGAAAAACATGAATTTCTATGGAAATAATGTGATAGAATTACCTTGAGGATCGAAGTCTGGATGATCGACGAGAGAGAGCCGCTGAGCTTCTGATCAATGACCAAACACTTCTTTCCTCGAATCTACAAATTCCAGTACAATCAAACAAATCAAAATTCAAGACATTTTTAATTTAAATTTCAACGGAAAATAAATTGAAATAAGGAACTGGAGCTCACATTCTTGAGGATGTTTACGAGCTCCCTCAGAGACTGTTCCCTGTTATACCATAATATCCACACAAGAATTATATAATATAATCATATATGTATATATACATATATACATATATATATATATATATATGAAGAAAATACAAAATTAATTGGAGATTAAATGGAAAAAGTAATCAGTTGGTACCTGAGGGATGTGAGATTGAGCGGAGCATTGTCTAGGTTGGGAATCTGAGTTTTTTTTTTTTTTTTTTTTTCAGTTGCAGAACTGAACTCCGCCTATGTCTTACATGGCCGGTCCCAAGCCCGGATAAAGGAGGAGGGGGAGGGCGTCAGGTAGTCGACAGCCGGCACTCCATGATCACGTCGAATCCTTATGAAAATGAATCCAGAACAAAATCGCTCTAAAGCTAGGGCGTCACCCGTAAGTGGCGCGCTGTGTGGCCCGAGCACAGTGATAAGTGAGCAAGGGTCGTTGTATCTCCATCGGCACCCGGATGCAGTGTTAAATGAGCAAGGGGGCCATAGAAACTTCTTTTCGAACGACTCCACTCAAAGTTGTTTGGGAGCATATGCTCCTATCAACTTTACCCGGGACACACAAAAGAAGTACTTTGATCCTATTAGACGGGGGAGGGTGAAGAAGCTAGGACAGAAGGGTAGAGTTCAAGAGAGCAAAATGCGTTTAGGAACGTGGAATATAGGAACCTTAACGGGAAAATCTATGGAAATAGTGGAAGTTATGGTGAGGAGAAGGATAAATATTATGTGCCTACAAGAAACTAAGTGGGTTGGTAGTAAGGCAAAGGATCTAGAAAACTCAGGGTTTAAACTTTGGTATTCGGGCACAAATAGAACGAGAAACGGTGTTGGCATCGTCGTGGACAAGACCTTGGTACAAGATGTTGTAGATGTCAAGAGGGTAGGAGATAGAATCATGGCAATCAAGATTGTAATAGGACAAGAACTTATCAATGTGATTAGTGCGTACGCACCTCAAGTAGGGTTGGATACGAGTTCGAAGGAGAAATTTTGGGAAGATCTTGGAGACTTGGTGCAAGGAATTGCTCTGACGGAGAAGTTATTTATAGGAGGAGATTTAAATGGACACGTGGGCAGGGAGACAGACAACTATGGAGGTTTTCATGGTGGCCATGGTTTTGGGGAGAGAAACAAGGATGGGAAAGCTATCTTGGATTTTGCAATGGCATATGATCTCTTCTTAGCCAACACCTTCTTTAAGAAGAGAGAAGAACATGTGATCACCTACAAGAGTGGGTCGTCAAAAACACAAATAGATTTTCTTCTAATGAGGAAAGGGGATCGTATAACTTGTAAGGATTGCAAAGTTATACCAGGAGAGAGCGTGGCTAATCAACATCGCTTGTTGGTGATGGATGTACATATCAAAAGAGTAAGACAAAAGAACAAGACTTGGAAGTGCCCAAGGACTAGATGGTGGAATCTAAAAGAAGAAAAACAAGCCATTTTCAAAGAGAAAGTAATCACCCAATGTGTGTGGGATAGAGAGGGGGAAGCTAGCCAAATGTGGGATTCCATGGCTAGTTGTATCCGAAAAGTAGCAAAAGAGGTATTAGGAGAGTCCAAGGGCTTTGCCCCACACCAAAAGGAATCTTGGTGGTGGAATGAGGAGGTACAAACAAAGGTGAAGGCTAAGAAGGAATGTTTGTAAAGCCTTATACAAGGAGAGGACCGATGAAAATGGTGAAAGGTATAGAAAAGCGAAGCAAGAGGCGAAGAAAGCTGTCAGAAAAGCTAAGTTAGCGGCTTACGACGATATGTATAAACGACTAGATACCAAAGAAGGAGAGTTGGATATCTATAAACTATCTAGAGCAAGGGAAAAGAAGACAAGGGACCTAAACCAAGTGAGGTGCATCAAGGATGAGGATGGAAAGGTTCTTGCTACAGAGAACGCGGTTAAAGACAGATGGAGAGGTTATTTTCATAATCTTTTCAATGAAGGACATGAAATGAGTGCTTCTTTAGGGGAGTTGAATAACTCAGAAGAGTGTAGAAACTACTCTTTTTATCGTCGAATCCGGAAGGAAGAAGTGGTTGTAGCTTTGAAGAAGATGAAGCATAAAAAAGCAATAGGCCCAGACGATATACCAATCGAAGTGTGGAAACTTTTGGGAGAGACAGGTATAACATGGCTCACTGACCTTTTCAATAGGATTTTGAAAACGAAGAAGATGCCAAATGAGTGGCGAACGAGCACTTTGGTGCCTATCTACAAGAATAAGGGCGACGTACAAAATTTCATGAACTATAGGGGTATTAAGCTAATGAGTCATACAATGAAGCTCTGGGAGAGAGTCATTGAGCATAGATTGAGGCAAGAGACACGGGTTTCGGACAACCAATTTGGGTTCATGCCAGGGCGCTCAACCATGGAGGCAATCTATCTCTTACGAAGATTGATGGAAAGATATAGAGATGGGAAAAAGGATTTACACATGGTCTTTATAGATTTGGAAAAAGCGTATGATAGGGTCCCAAGAGACATTCTTTGGTGGATTTTAGAGAAGAAAGGAGTACGAGTAGCATATATCCAAGCTATAAAGGATATGTATGAAGGAGCAAAGACTGCCGTAAGAACTCATGAAGGACAAACCGAAAGCTTTCCCATAACTGTAGGATTACATCAAGGCTCATCCTTAAGTCCTTACCTTTTTGCGTTGGTAATGGATGAGTTAACAGGACATATTCAAGATGATATTCCTTGGTGTATGCTTTTCGCAGACGATATAGTGTTGATAGATGAAACTCAGGAAGGGGTAAATGTAAAGCTTAACCTTTGGAGAGAAGTGTTGAAATCTAAAGGTCTTCGCCTAAGCCGATCAAAGACAGAATATATGGAGTGCAAGTTCAGTGCAAATGGAGGCCAAAACGAGTTAGGGGTGATGATCGGAGATCAAGAAATACCAAAGAGCGACCGTTTTCGTTACCTAGGATCTATCTTGCAAAAAAACGGAGAATTAGATGGAGATCTCAACCATAGAATACAAGCTGGATGGATGAAGTGGAAGAGTGCATCCAGCGTGTTGTGTGACCGCCGTATGCCACTGAAGCTCAAGGGAAAATTTTATAGGATGGCAATAAGGCCGGCGATGTTGTATGGCACAGAATGTTGGGCGGTGAAACATCAACACGTACACAAAATGGGTGTAGCGGAGATGAGGATGCTTCGTTGGATGTGTGGGCACACGAGAAAGGATAAGATTAGGAATGAGGATATCCGGGGTAAAGTAGGAGTAGCCGAAATTGAAGGAAAGATGAGAGAAAATCGGTTACGGTGGTTTGGACATGTGCAAAGAAGGCCTACTGACACTCCGATTAGAAGATGCGACTATGGGACAGAGGTTCAGGGCCGAAGGGGTAGAGGAAGACCTAGGAAAACTTTGGAAGAGACTCTAAGAAAAGACTTAGAGTACTTGGATCTAACGAAGGACATGACACAGGATCGAGCACAATGGCGTTCTAAGATTCATATAGCCGATCCCACTCAGTGACTTGGATTTTCCAAGTCTCCAACCGAGAAGTTTTCCTCACTCGGGAAATTAAGGGAACACTACCCCAACCTACATGCTCCACTCAGAAAGCTTCAACATACAAGCTTCAACAAAAGAAAAATTCAAAGAACTTAGCGAAGAAGGCTTTGGTGTATTTAACACAATACGTTGAAATGAAGGAAAGCTTATTTATTGATATCCCCGATAAGCTACAAATATGTACATATACATGAGTCAAAATAAACACACAAGAGGGAGCCTTCACAAAGGTTGCTTAGGAGAAGTCTCAGCAGTCGGTAGAGCCCCAGAAAGAGAAGGCACCGGATGGGGATCATTTGGAGCCTCAGTACTGGACAGAACCCTAGAAGGAGGAGGCATCAGAGGTTGATCATTTGGAGCTTCATTACGCGGTACAGCCCCAGAAGACGAAGGCAATAAATGCCTTTGGAACAAACCCACAAATCTCTGATGATCAAGTAAAACCTGACCATCAGTTTCCTTCATCTGGTCAAGCTTCCTCTTCATGTTTGTAGCATAGTCATGTGCGAGCCGGTGCAACTGTTTATTCTCATGCTTGAGCCCTCTAATCTCCTGTTTGAGACTCATCACTTCAGCCGCCAATGATTCAACTTGGCGGGTTCGAGCAAATAGGCGTTGGGCCATATTAGACACAGAACCTGCACACTGAACACTCAGAGCCAGCGAATCCTTAACAGCTAACTCATCAGACCGTTTGGAAAGTAGTCTGTTATCTTTGGGAGTGAGAAGGTTTTTGGCCACCACCGCAGCGGTCATATCATTCTTCATCACGGAATCCCCAACGGTAAGAGGACCAGTAGGGGAGACGAAAGATGGGCGCCATATGTTGTCTGGAGAAGGCGGGGCTGCCTCTTCAACAAGGTTCAAGTCAAAACGACGGTCGGAGGGGCCAGACATTTTCAAAGGTATTGAAGAGAGAAGAGGTCGGACAAATCAAGATCTTAGAAGTGCAAGAATGAAGCTTCTACTGGTGGAGATTCAAGTGTGCTTTGGAACTTAATGCCAGCCCCTATAAAAATCTGCACTCGACGGAGCTTCAGAAATCGAAGAGGCGCCTGCTCAGAAATCGAAGAGGCGTTTGCTTTCTCAAAAGCTGGGCTGCTTAGAGATCATGAGGGTTGATCTCAGAAATCGAAGAGGCGTTTGCTTTCTCAAAAGTTGGGCTGCTCAAAGACCACGAAGGCCGATCTCAGAAATCGAAGAGGCGCTCGCTTTCTCAAAAGCTGGGCTCCCCAGAGACCACGAGGGCCGATCTCAGAAATCGAAGAGGCACCTACTTTTCCAGCCTTTTCCAGCCTTGTCAGCACCTGTCACACGCACACTCAGCTTTGGCGGAAATTATGGGCATTCTGTCAAAGACTTCTGGGGAAGTAGAAAACACATGAATCTTACTGTTCAATCACCCACTTCCCACACGCAACAATAGCTCATGGGTACCACAGATAACTTTGCCAAAGTTCTCTGCCAAAGTTGAGCACATGAAGCTTGCAGCTCCCACTACATCGCTCTGACCAAGAAGGGTAAAAGAATAGCAAAGAAACAGCACTAACAAAGTTTAGACCCATAAATTTTGAAGGTCTAGCTACCATATTATTACCCACAAGGGTAAAGGAACAGTACCACTGCTGGATAATTGGAAAGTCCCTGTGTGTCAACCTCTGTGCTTCGTGGCAAGGTAGACTAGCAAACATGCACAACCTTTAC